GGAGGGGGGCGCGGCGCGGGCGGGGGGCCCGGCGCGGCCCGTGAGCCTGCGGGAAGTCGTGCGCTACCTCGGGGGCAGCGGCGGCGCAAGCGGGCGCCTGACCCGCGGCCGCGTGCAAGGGCTGTTGGAGGAGGAGGCGGCGGCGCGGGGCCGCCTGGAGCGCACTCGCCTCGGAGCGCTCGCGCCGCCCCGCGGGGACAGGCCCGGACGGGCCCCGCCGGCTGCCAGCGCCCGCGCGTCGCGGAGCAAGGTGAGCGCGCGGGGAGTGGGGCGCCGCGCGGCGGGCAGGGGGGGGGGGGCAGGCCGTGTGCGCGTCCCCAGCGGGCTCCCCTCATAGTGACCTTGGCAAGGGACTCCCATTTGCCTTCAGCCTCAGTTTCCACCGCCGTCAGCGCGGCTGGATCACAGTAGCGACCCCTTGGGGTTGTGGAGCTACTTTATCCAGGTTTGGCTGCGGAGGGCTGTGTGAGCACCGAGCCTGGCACGGAGTGAATACAAAAGTTACTCCGTGTTGTTACTAAAGGTGGCTTGGGTCATGCGACTCGGCCCAGGATCCCAGGATCCACCAACCTTGCCTGCTTCTCTCCCTGGTCTCAGAGAGGAGGAGAAGAGCGACTGCTTGAGAAAGAAGAGGAAGAAGAAGATGAAGACGACGAAGATGATGAAGATGACGTGTCTGAGGGCTCAGAAGTGCCCGAGAGTGACCGTCCTGCAGGTGCCCAGCACCTCCAGGTTAATGGTGAACGTGGCCCTCCAAGCGCTAAGGAGAGGGTCAAGGAGTGGACACCCTGTGGACCCCTCGCGGGGCAGGACGAAGGGCGGGGACCGGCACCGGGGAGTGGTACCCGCCAGGTGTTCTCCATGGCAGCCATGAGTAAGGAAGGAGGATCGGGTAAGGATTGGGGAGGGGGAGTGCCGGGTGGGCAGGAACGGAAGCCCAGGACAATGTCACAGGCTCCTGCTTTTTCTTTCCCAGCCTCTGTTGCCACTGGGCCAGATTCCCCGTCCCCTGTGCCTTTGCCCCCAGGAAAGCCAGCCCTCCCTGGGGCCGATGGGACCCCTTTTGGCTGTCCGTAAGTTGTGGATTCCGAGGACCTGGGGGGACTGCTTGGGTGTGAACAAGAGGAAGGGTATTGGTAGTCACCCAGCCATATGTTTCACTGCAGTCCCGGGCGCAAGGAGAAGCCAGCAGACCCGGTGGAGTGGACGGTGATGGACGTGGTAGAGTACTTCACTGAGGCCGGCTTCCCTGAGCAGGCCACTGCCTTCCAGGAGCAGGTGAGTCCACACCCAGGGCTTCCCCTACACTCAAGGCCTGTGGGGCATGCTCTGACTCTGTCTCTGTCCTGCTCAGGAGATCGACGGCAAATCCTTGCTGCTCATGCAGGGCACAGACGTGCTGACCGGCCTTTCCATCCGCCTGGGCCCAGCCCTCAAAATCTACGAGCACCACATCAAGGTGCTTCAGCAAGGCCACTTTGAAGATGATGACCCTGATGGTTTTCTAGGCTGAGTGCCAGGCATTGCCCTCCCGAGGTCCATTCCAACTCCCATCTCACCCAAGCCCTGGAGAGTCCAGGAGCTGCCTAGGGCACCTGGGGCCCTGGTGACAGATTCCGGCGAGGGGCGCCTCTCCGTTCATCTCCCTTTGTCTCTCACACACACCTGCCCCCTGCATATCCTCTGCTCCCCAACAGTGGAGTACAGGGTGGGACTCCAGGAGGCCGACCCCCTCCCAACCCAAGGACATTTTTGGGAAAAAAAAAAAAAAATTTTGGCTTCCCCAAAATCATTTTCAGCCAGATGTTTCCTATATAAATGTTTTGTTCTGCTTGTTCATTTTGGTGGGTGGTCGCCTCCCTCCCCCACCACCCATGCCCCCTTTCCAGCCTGCTGCCCTTGGCCTCCAGCCACAGGAGGATTGGGGAACAGCTGGGTGGGGTCCTGGGTCTTGTCTGCCCTCTCCTTTCTGTCAGTCATTGCTCCAGCTGGCTGTATTGCTTTTTAATATTGCACCGAAGGTTTTTTAAATAAAATTTTAAAAAAAAGGAAAAGAAAGAAAAAGATACTAGAGTCCATTTTATGAATGGAGTGGGGGAGGGGCACAGAAGAGCCTCCAACTGGCCCCTAAGGGTAGGACAGAAACTGTTGGGGACACAGCAAGGGGCCTGATGGGGCTGCTTCACAGCCAGCTCTAAGAGTAAGTGCTCCAGGCTGGGCAGTGTGGCTCTGGTGAGGTCCTGGCAGTGAAAAAAAAATAATGGTTCCAGGCTGGAATACTTTGGTCTTCTCTCCATGTCCAGAGCCACCTGGCACAAATGCTGCTCAAATGCTGGTTGAGTGACTAACAGTGAACACGTTTTATGAGCATTTTCTTGGTTATCCGCTCTGCATCCCGATGAGACAAAGAGCTCATAAAAACTGAGTTTATAGGGCTGGGGATTTAGCTCAGTGGTTCCGCCGCTTGCCTTGAAAGCACAAGGACCCAAGTTCAATCCCTGGTACCAAAAAGAAAAACAGTTTATAGAGAAGGCCACACAGCAAAGACGCTGGAGGTCACACAAGGTGGTGTCTGACACTTGTCACCGCCTTTATCCAGAGCCTTTGAACATAATTAATGTCCTTGTCTTCATAGCTGCACCATGAACCTGTCTGTCTGCCTTTTGCGCTCTGAATGGGGACACCGTCCAGGGACTGACTGATAGGTCGTGGGCTAGGAAAAACCTTCCAAAGGAATTTTTATCGTTAGCAGGAACAACTGGGACATTGCCCATCCTTACCCAGTGCACAACGCTATTGGCCCATAGCCTGGGCTTCTCTAGACGTCGACACCCATCCTCCCATCTCCAGTCTTCCCATCTGGATTCACGTTGAGATCCCTGCACCCCCAGGACACAGATAGCAGGCTCCGCGGCCTCACTGTCCCCCTTGCACGTGCCAGGTGCCCAGAGCGCGCAGGTGCGCGGAGTCTGGGCACGAGCCGGAATTCAAATGAGGCGAACTCTTCCCGCGGGGCCGGCCGAGAGGTTGAGGCCAGGCTAGGGGAAGGCGGCCGCTGCGGGTCCGACCACTCCTACACATCCCCATCCCACAGGGCGGGGTCAAATTTGCGCCGCGGAGGCTTAAAAAGGGAAGGTCTCCGCCCCTTGCCCCTAGATGGCTACCGAACCGTGGTTTTCAGGGTCGTCCCCGCTGGGCCCCGGAGAAACGCCATCCCTGGACGACTTGAAACCTGGGCTACAGCCTTGCGGGGACCCTTCGTGGTCCACGCCACCTGGCAAACCTGAGGACCCACCGGCGACGGAGCCTGAGGATGCCCAAGGACAGGTGGCAGTGGAGGCTGCAGGCCCCGAATCAGGGCCTGCGGTTCCGCCCTCAGCTCGATTGACCCTGGACGCAATGTTCAGCCCCATCACGGAGCAGCTCTGCTACCTGCTCAAGAAGGCAGACGAGTTCCAAAGCTACTTGCTCTATAGGTGACCCTGGAAGGGGTGACAGACTAGGCAGGCAGCCCACACCAAGTCCCAGTCAAAAAAATTACCATGAAGCTAGCTGAGGAGGAATCTGGTGTGCAGAACCCGGGGTGGGGGTATGTCCGAGGCACTGACAGACTAGGCAGGCAGCCCACACCAAGTCCCAGTCAAAAAAATTACCATGAAGCTAGCTGAGGAGGAATCTGGTGTGCAGAACCCGGGGTGGGGGTATGTCCGAGGCACAGGCAGCACAGGCCTCTGGGCTGTCACAGCCAAAGGACATTCCTCTGAGTGTGTAAATGCTGGCTTAGATTTGGAACTGTGTGCCAGCTAAACCAAGACTATCTGATCCAGATTTGGCCCCGGGGGCTACCAGTTTGAAACCACCCAATGTGAATAATGCGATCCCCACAGCAGGGCAAAGGAGACTGATTCTCAGTTTTAGAGTCTTATTGGAATCCCCTGGGAGGCTGGTTTAAACTCTAAATTTCTGGGCTGCACCTTGCAGTTTTGAGCAAAAGGCAGTTATGTAACACAGGTGTTAACTTTTTTGTTTCGTTTGGTTTTTTCTGAGATAGGGTCTCAATTTGTAGTTTAGACTGGCCTTGAACTCCTGGCAATCCTCCTGCCTCAACCTCCCAAGTGCTGGGATTACAGGCGTGTGCCATGTCACCACCCTCAGCTGGGTGTTAGGGTTTTAACAAGAATTCTGAATGGCTTTGATGCAGGTGGACCTAGAAGATATCCTGAGAAAGGCCTGACACCAAGGGATCTTATAACAGGGAGGCAAGATGGGGGTGGGTAGGGAGCTCTTCCATCCATAGTACTGGGCCAAAAATTTAAAAAGCCAGTCAAGATGGAACATACCTGGAATGTCAGTACTCAAGAGGCTGAGGCAGGAGGATTGCTGTGAGTTTAAGGCCAGCTTGGGCTACATAGTGAGTTCAAGGCCAGCTTGCACTGCAAAGTGTGACCCTGTCTCCAAAAGACAAAAAAACAAAAGCCAGAACAGGGATACAAATAAAAGGTGAGTAGAATGGGAGAAATAGGGGGTTGGAGGCATCCCAGGTAAAGACTCCTTTCTCCCTTTAGCAGGGACCAGGTCCAGAAGGAACAGCTGGCAAGGGCCATGCCCACCTTCTTAAGGATGTGTGAACCATACTTCCTCTATTTAGAGGCCGCAGCAAGGAGCATGCCTCCCATCCATGGAGCCCTGCAGGAGGTAGTCCGGAAAGGGGTGCGTGTAGCAGCTTCCAGGGCCCAGGCTCAGGGCTAAGGCTCCCCAGCCGGGCTGGCTCACTACCCCCTTCTCTGCAGCTGTTGGAGATCTCCCAGCAGCTCACCCTGTGCCTGGAGCAGCTGGTCCTCATGTACGCCTCCTGTGGCTTCGTGGAGCTGGAGGAGACCAATCCCCTGAGGTAAGAGGGCCTGACACCTGCCTAGGGCTTCAGCAGAGCCCAGGCCCCAGCTTCATCTTTCACTCTCCCGTCTCCTCCCAGCATCTCCTGCTTCTTCTGTGGGAGATTCTCCATCAGCCCTTTCCAGGAAGTGTCCATCTTCAGATACTGCACCCCAGCTGCCTACACTGCCAGCCGCCAGCCCCGATACCTCTACAAGAAGATGCGCTGGAACCTAGAAACTACTACAAAGCCCAGCAGCCAGGGGCAGAATTCCCATGTAGATTAGTGAGTTCTCCCTACCAAATCAAAGGCCTCCCCTCTCTATACCCAATGCCAGTATGGGCCTCCAAACCACCACCACCAAGCAAAAAGCATGCTAGGCAAAGGCTCTACCACCAAGTTACACCCCCAGCCATTACCGTTTCTTTCTTTTTTTTTTTTTTTTTTTTTTGGTACCAGGGATCGAACTCAGGTCCTTGTGCTTGCGCAGCAGGCGGCGAAACCACTGAGCTAAATCCCCAGCCCATTACCATCCCTTTTTTTCCTTAACCTCACTTTCCCATAAAAATGTCTTTTCTTAGAAGTGAGCAAGGACCTGAGTTCGATCTCCAGTACCAAAAAAAAAAAAAATTGAAGAAAAAAAAAAGTGAGCTGGGAGGGAGAAAAAACTTTGTTTGGGGGGTTTTCTTTCTTTTTAGGCAGGGTGTCACTATGTAGCCCAGGGTGGCCTGGAACTCAGTGATTCTCCTGCCTCAGCCTCCAGAGTGTTGGGATGATAGCCATGCACCACCACACTAGGCTTGAGGCCTTGGTACTGAGTCACATCCCTACCTGAGAACTTCAGGGCAACTTCAAATAAGTTTTAGCTTCACCTCCAAAAATAAAACCTTCAACAGAATACAGTATCACCACTCAGCTGAATTGTCCCTCTCCCCTCCCTAGCTACTTCCTGTGCTACCGAGACATTTGGGAGGACACAGGCCAGAGTCCAGCCAATTCATGTCCCCAGATCCAGAAGCTGTGGTCCATCGGCCGATGGGTATCCCTAGGACCAGCTGATGATGACCTTTATTCATGGTAGGAGCTGAGGCAGTGCAGGATGGGTTTGGGCTCACCATCCATTCCAGCACTTCACTTCCCTTGGTGTCAACTATGGCATTTTATTTGTGCTCTTAAGTGTTTAATACAGAGTCTAACAATCTACTGAGATTTGTATTACAGGCCCCATTTTACAAAGACGTGAACAGGTAATCAGAGAGGTTAAGTTACCTGCCCAAGGGCACATAGCACAGTGACTGGCCGAGTCAGGGCCAGTTATTCAACTTCCTACAAAAGCCCTGACTCTTTTTCTTCCATAATAAGGAAGCCACTTTCCCCAGGGTTTTTCCCACCCCCCGGGGTAACAAAGCCTGTTTGGGCTCCCTTAAGGGTGGGCTCCCGAGGCCCAGGGGCACTCACTTCCCCTGCATGTCCCGGCCCCCAGGGTGTCATGCCCGCAGCCGCCCGGAGACTACCAGCAGCTGTTGATCATCGGCTTCGAGGAGCCATCCCACATGCTGGCCACCGACCTGCTGCTGCAGGTGCTCACGGGCCAGGCCGGGCCCGAGCAGCCCCGGAGCGTCGCGGGGCCCTCCGGGTGGGCGGCGCAGGGGTCCTGAACCAGGAGCAGGGGAACAGGGCTTGCCAGCTCCGAACTACAGGAGCAGGGCAAGGTGTCGCTCCTGCTCCAAGGGCAGCCCAGCCTCGCCTTGCTCGGGCGGAGAAGAAGTGAGCTGTGGGCACCGAGTTTTGTGTTAAATAAAAGAAAGAGGTCACAGGTTCCGCGTCCGTCCGAGCGCCGCGCCCCGCCCCGCCCCTTGGGACGGACAGGCTCCCCACCCCCTCGCACCACCCTCTGGGAAAAGTAGTCTTCGAAATGCAAACCCTCTTTAGCCAATAGAGGAGACGAGCGCAAGGCGCATGCGCAAAGGCGTGCAAGACGCAAAAGGGGAAGTAGCGGGGCCTGTCAATAACCGGAAGCCAGGAAACCGCAAGTTTCTGGTAGCAGGGAAAGTCTACGCCTACTGGAGGAAGAGCCTTAGGGCCACGCCCACGCCGGTGTTCTGACTCGGAAGTGGTTTCTTTTTAGTGTCAAAAGACTACATTTCCCGAAGCGCCCTAGGAAAAGCTCAGGGGTTGGTTCTCCAAGGGTCAAATGAAGACTTTTCTCTTCCAGCCCTTGGTTTTCGGAGACCAACAGGTCGCTGTCCTTTCGGGGTGTCCAAGGCACAGACGGGGTTGGGGAGGGTCCTAAGAAACCTCAGCGTGTGAGCTCTAAGTCTTACCCCACCCTGGGTGGGAGAAGTCCTCTGGTGAGCGAGTTGAGGAGACTGGACTCGAACTGGGTCGCCTGGATCGCTCCTGGCCCCCTGCGAGGGAATGGGTCTTTCCTCACCTGGGTGTCAACCGCTGCGAGGCCCCCTCTTTACATTGAGGAACAGCTTTTAGATCCCCTGGCATTTTATTTTTCCGGTACTGGGGACTGAACCCGGGCCCTTTGCACTGAGCTACATCCCCAGCCCTTTTTATTTTTGAGGAAAAAACTCTTAAGTCACAAAGTTGCTCAGGCTGGGCTCAAACTTTCGATACTCCTGCCTCAGCCTCCCAGAGCCCTGGGGTTACAGCTGTAGGCTACTGCATCCAGCTGCCTGGCACCTGTAGGATCAGAGTAAGAGACCCAGAGCCATGCGTTTGTTTTTTATTTGTGCATGTTTGGAGTACATAATGATTACATTCATCATGGAAAATTGGTATATGGACAAAATACACCTTAATTTTTTTATCCATACCTTTCACCTCCCCTATGTGCTGTTGAGCAAAGTGGTCACTTACCTAATAGTCCCTGGCATAGATTTTTATCCTAAATCTCAGTTTACAGATGAGAAAAATGGATGTGAACAGTGAACAAGTCAGGATTGAACACCAAATTCATTTCTCTTACAGCAGGGCTTCCGGTGACCCTTCCTGACTGTCAAGGATTACTTTTTTTAATCCTTATCCTGACCTAGAGGATTTCAGGGGGTTCTGAGGCTCCCTGATGCTGAGTCGAGATGGCCCCTGGAGTTTCCCCATAGCTGTAAGATTCTTTAGACTGGCCTGGCTCACTAGAAAGTGAGCCACAAATGTGAGTCACAGGTAATTTCAAATTTTCTAGTGGCCACATTTTGAAAAGAATGGCTGGAGTGCAGCTCAATGGCAGAGTGCCCCCTAAGCATATGTGAGGCCCTGGGTTTAACCTCCTGCACTGCAAAAATAAGTAAAACTAAGATCAGATTCATTTTAGTGATATTTTTAACACAATATATCTAAAAGATTGCTTTCAACATATAACCTGTGCGAGAACATTAATATGGTTTCCTTTTGTGTGTATGCACCTAGTGTTTGAAATCTGCTGCGCGTGTAACACTTAGAGCACATCTCAATTCAGATAAGCCACAAGCAGTTTTCACCTGTCTCCCACAAGCCTAATCCATAGTTTGCTTACAAACGAAAGATTTCTGGTGGGTGGTGGCAGTACTGGAAGAGGAAGGAAACAAGCTTGATTTCCTGGGTCCTGTTTTCTCAGGAACTATCTGCACTCATGATTCTCAAACTTTAGTGTATGTCAGAGTCACATGCAGTTTTGCAGTTTCATCGTTAGGTCTGGGCTGGGACTCAAGAAAGTGTTGTTGTTGTTGTTGTTGTTGTTCAAGGGATGGAACCCAGAGCCTCAAGCATATTAGGCAAGTGCTCTGCCAGTGAGCTATACCCCCCAGTCCTTTTCTTTTAGTCTTATGAGACAGGGTTGCACTAAATTGCCCAGGATGTCCTGGCCTTGAACTTGTGATCCTCCTGTCTCAGACTTTTCAGTAGCTAGGACTACAAGCCTATACCACAGTGCCCAGTGAACCCGAGGAGCTTTAAAAACTACTGATATCAGGCTGAGGACTTTTCTCAGCACTTGCCAAGCACATGCAAAGCCCTGGATTTGTTTGGGCATGGTGGCACATGCCTGTAATCCCAGCAGGTGGCTGGGGCAGGAGGATGACAGAATTCAAGGCCAGCCTGGGCTACCTAGTGAGTTCAAGGCCAGCCTTGAACTACATACTGAGACCTTGTCACACACACACACACACACACACACACACACACGCACACGCACACAAACACGAGAAACAAGGCCCTGGATTTGATCCCTATAACCCCCACAAACAAAATAACCTGTCATCATTATCCCCCTATTCTGATTTATTTGGCATAGGGGACCTCAGTTAGGTTTAATATTCAAGAAAGATAGAAAATCTCCAGTCTATACATAAACAGTCCTGTCCACTTTTTCCTTGATTAGTTCTTAGCTCCCTCCTGGGAATTAAGAACTGGCTCTGTTTCCACATCTTATCTTGGCAGCTCTGGCTCTGCTTCTGTCTCTACACTTCCCGAGTTATGGTCAGGCAGGTGGTCTGTGTGTGGATGACAGCTCAGGATGGACCCTTGGTGGGGTGAGCTGAGCTGCTGGTGAGTGCAATGCCTGTGTTTCCTCTCTACATTTTATTCATTGTTATTTCACTAGACACCTGCTGTTCCTATGCAGAGGACAGAGTTAGCGCCAAGACTCTTTTCTTCTGTACTGAGAACTGAACCCAGAGTCTTCTTTTTAATTTTGAGACAGCATCTCACTAAGAATTGCAAGTTGGAGTCTAGCCTGGGAAAATTAGTGACTTAGGGAGAGCTTGTCTCAAAAAAATTTTTAAAGGGCTGAGAAGTTAGCTCCGTGCAAAGGCCTTGGGGTAGGCAGGACCAGATACTCAAACATGCTAGGCAACTGCTCTACCATTGAGCTGGCCTCTAGATTTCTTTTTTTATAGCTGGGTTGCTGCTGTATACATTTGAGACAGAGTCTCATTAATGTTGCCCAGGCTGGCCTTGAACTCCTGAGCCCCAGCAATCCTCCTGTGTCAGCCTCCAAGGTAGCTGTCATGCGCCACCTGGCTGGGCTTCCAATTGCTTTTGGAAACCAGAAACTGTGCCCCTGCTCCCTGTCTTGCTTATTGATAGTGAGCAAAGATGTGTGGTGGAGGAGGATTACCAGGAACTGCTGCTATCTAGGGGGAGCTGGAACCTTCATCATCCCCAGCCTTTTTTTTTTAAAGGTATTGTTTACATTTCTAGACCAAGAACAGCTCATGTGACCTTTGTCTAGCTGGTACCCAGAGCTGAGCACGCTGTTGACACCCATAAAACTTGAAGTCTAGAAAGCAGCTTTCGAGCTTCTGCAGGAAAGACATATTTTGTGCCCGCGCCGCCAGGGGGCAGTAGGAACCTGGTTGGGCTGGGCTGGCCAGGGGAGGAGGGCAGCGCTGGCACTGAGGACAAGAGCACATTCCCGAATTCCGGCCGGCGCCTCGGCGGCTTTCTCAGACCTCCCTCCGTCTGCCCTACGCCGGACGAGGAGGACTCAAAAGAAAACAGCTTGCACTGCCCAGAAAGGAGGGGGCTTTATTGGTTGTGAGTGGGTTGGGTGGCCCCGGCTCTCTTAATAGGAAAAGGTTAGCTCTGTGTGCAGTTACGTGGAAAGAGTGGTGAGTTTCATTCACAGGGCTGCAGGTGGTGATCAGGTTCCCAGAAGAGACCAAGTAGTTTTAGAGAGGAGGCTGGTGCATCCCACCAGGCCAAGTGCGGGTCGATTGCAGTTTTCCCAGTGTATACGGCTGGGCAGCTCCAGGCCTCCTCCTGGAGCGGGCTGCTGGCCCCCCGCCCTGCTTCCGGCCAGAGGTCCCAGCCTATCCAAGCCTCAGGGTCTGCGCCCCTCCTGGAGAGAGAAGGACAGGCCGTGCTCAAGGACACGGTGCACAGGGTGGGGCAATGTGGGCCCCGGGATCACCACCTCCTCCTCAACCTTCCACACACACACACTCCCACACACTCCCGCCCCCGCTGCGCCCCGGACTTTGAATTCTGGCCATAGTGTGGCTTCAGGGGCCTGGAAGGCGCAGATCTCCCAACTCCACGTCCTAGCACCGCAGGGACTGTTGTGAAGCGACAGGACGGGGTGGTGTGTGTGGGGTCTCCCACCTGCTCCAGGCCGCTGTCCGGGGCTTTTCTGCGGGGGGGCCAAGTCACTGCCAGCTTTCCATCGCCCCGGCTCGCTGCGAGGGAGGGGACGCTCAGCTGGGGCCCCTCCTATCAAAGGCTGCGGGCGGCCAGTGAGGAGGCCGGCCGCGCCCCTTAAATACATACAGGTGTCCACACACACCCTCGTCCCCATGGAGGACTCCACCTAATTCTGGGGACCAGGGAACCGGAGCAAGGGAACTTGGGAGTGGAGAGGCAAGACCCAGAAGCCCCTCCCCAAGCCTGAGTGCTGTGGATCTGGACTCCATCCTTTCAGGTGGGATGGGGCACAAAGGGGTGGGCAAGGAACCCAGGATTCTGGGAGCCTGGAGGGGGAATCCCAAGAATCAGAGCGCCAGAGGAAGAGCCTTTGGCGCTGGGCAGTCCCTGGGGCAGCTGGAACCCCGGATCCCGGGCGTCACCGCTCACCCGTGAGACTTGGCGCGGGCTCCTTGAACTCAGTGGTGCCGTAGACGCTGCACCTCTGCCGCTGTAGCTCCTGTTCGCGCTCGCGTACCTGGCGCACCTCCTGCTCCAGCAGGGACAGCGCGAGCGGTGGCGGGGCGCGCCCCAGAACCGGGCACCGGACCTGCACCCCCGAGCGCCCCCTGGCCTCGGCCTCCGGCAGCCGCTGCTGACCTGTGTCGTTCCCCGCGGAGTCGCCCCCCGCGGCGGCCTCGAAGAAGCGTCGGAGCTCGCCCAGAGGCGGCGGCGGCTGCCGGACGCAAGGCTCGGAGCCCGTGAGGTGCAGCAGCGCCGCCTCCCGGTGCGCCTCGCGTTCGATTTCCCGCTGCATCTGCGCGCCCGCCCGTGCGCGCTCCACGGCTCGCGGGAGCGCGGGGCTGGGCCCTGGCAGGTGCAGCAGCGGTCGCACGCGCAGCTCCACAAGCTCCTGGCCCGCTCGGCCTGGGCTCAAGCCCCGGCTCCGGCGCAGGCTCTGCTCACGCTCGCAGCTGCGGCGGATCTCGCGCTCGATGGGCGTCTCCATCGGCGGTTCCACCGGGCGCCCTCCCGGGGACTCGGGAATCCGCGGCAGACGCCGCACGGGATTCTCCGCGTCTGAGCCCAAAGCTGAGCTCTCAGGCTCGGGAGGTGGGCGCTGCCCCGAGGCCTCCGCGCTGGGCGCCGAACACAGCCCGGAGCCGTGGTCGCTACCTGGCCCCGGACGCTCAGAGCCCGCGGCTGCGCACGGTCCCCGGTGCTCGGCGTCCTGCTCCGCTGGTGGCTGTAAGATCTCTCTCTCCGGCTCGGGGGTCTCAATGTCCTGCTCCGAGGAGGGCTCAAAGACCTCGCTTCCCGGCCTGGGAATCCCGGGGACCTGCTCTGCAGCGGGCTCCGGGGCTGCGCTATCGCGCCCTGGGGGCTCGTGGTCCTGCGCTTCGAGCGACCCCAGGGCTCTGCTCTCCGGCCCGGGGGCCTCGGTGTCCAGGGTTAGGAGCAGTTTGGGAGCCTCGGGTCCCAGCTCCGGGCTGACACGGTGCCCTGCGCAGCACCTGTGGCTGCAGTCGCTGGACGGTTCTAGGGCGTCGCCCGCCGGTCGCTGTGACTCGCCTCTGGCCTCCGCACGCCCCGGGGGGGCAGGGCCCGGCGCCGCCCGGGCACCTGCGGGCAGCTAGGGCCCCGCCTTGGCTCCGCCCTCGGGCCGGGGAGGGGGGGAGCTCGGCTGGGCCCCCTGAGCCGTTTGCAGGGTCAGCTCGGGGTACAGTCCATCGCGCAGAACGGCCGCCCCGCCCGGCGCCGTCTCAGGACGGCTCCAGGGTGGCGTCCTGCTGGTCGCGCTCCGGCACCTTTTCGGTCCCACGTCCCCAGCTTTGTCCTGGAGACGTGCCCCCACGGGACGCAAAGTAGGGCCTCTGAACACTGAAGCCGTCCCACACCAGCCTGGTCTGCCTCTTACAGCGAGGGCCCTGGCCTTGGGGACCCCTCTCCGCTCCCAGCTCATGGCTGCTGCTTCAGGGGCCACTAGAACCTGAGTCTCCTCCCTGCGCGCGCCCCTCAGCGGATTCTCTCCGCTCTGTGCAGTCTGGGGCGGCCGCTGCCAAGAGCGCTAGCGGGAGGCGAAGGAGGGGACAGACTGAGGCGTCTGGGGAGGCCAGGGCCGGGGACACCCACGGAGCCAGAGGGCACAGCGCTCGAGGCTGGGACCAGGTCAAGATTCAAGGGCAGGATCGACGTCCCCATGCGGAGCTACCCCTGTGGAGCCCAGGGTCTTTGTTACATTCAGTGTCCCTGATTTATTTTCTATTTTGAGACTGGATCTTGCTCTGTCGCTAATTGCTTAGGCTGGGCTGGAACTTTCGATCCTCCTGCCTCAGCCTCCCAGAGTGCTGGGATTACAATGGCCAAGCAGAAGCAGGCTTTTGCCAGAACAAGTCCATGCCCCCCCCAAATCTGGGATGACCCTGAAGCAAGAAGACAGTTGCCTAAAGAAAACGGGGGGGGGGGTGTTATATAGCCTCAGGAACACCCAGTCACCCAACTATTTGACTATTTGATCACCCCTTCCGGCCTAACCTTTGCTCTTTCACCTCACTTCCTCCTCCCCCCCTTTTTGTGGTAGTGGAGATTGAACCCTTTCTACTGAGCTACATCTTCAGCCTTATTGATTGATTAATTGACTGACTGGGCTTGAATTTGCTCTCCTCTTGTCTCAGCCTCCCAGAGTGCAGCCCCTTCCCTCTCCTTAATCCCAGACTCAAATTGCTCTCTCCTCCTTCTGACCATCCGACTGTTTTCCTCTGACCTCATCAGCCTAATTAGAATCACACCAGCCTGGCTCCCATACCATCCATAACCTGAGCAAGGTTGGAACCTTCTGCAAGGTTCAGTTTTCCTATCTGTAGAATGGGAATGGCAGTGCCTGACTCCTGGAAAGGTGACAAAGAGGAAAGCTGACTGATTCTCTAAAAGCCGTGTCCCTCCAGCTGCTTCCCCTGGGTACCTTCCAGGTCACTCCTTCAGCCCAGCTGACCAGGCCCCCAGCCCAATCCCATGGAGTCTTCTCCAACCCTGGACACCTGTTACCTCCCTGTAGCCAGCCTGGTTGCTGGCTCTCTACATCCTCCCTTAGATCCTCAGGATGCCACTCTCTCCTGACTTCTGCTTTATAGGGACCTTCGAAGACTCTGCTGCGGGTGCTCTGATTCACAGACTCTGATTGGCCAGCGCTCTTCCCCTCTGACTCCCATGGGAGCAAGGATGGGAGACAGCACCCAACCCTGCTCTTTCCCTCCAGGCCCCCCACACCCAAGTGCAGGTCCACAGGTCATCCAGGGCCGGGAAGGCAGTACCTCGACAGGGTGTTCCTGGCCCAGGGCACTTTCGCATGCCTCCTGCATTACCTTTGTGAGCTATCTCTTCCTTAAATTCTCATCAGTTAACCAGGTGTGGTGGTGCACAACTGGAATCCCACCACTCTGGGAGGCTGAGGCAAGAGGATAGCAAGTTCAAGCCCAGCCCAGGCAACTTAGAGACTTGGAGAGACCTTGTCTCAAAATGAATAAATTTAGAAAAGGGCTGAGGATGTAGCTCAATCCCCAGCACTGAAAGAAAAAAAAAAAGACACCATCTTGATTTTGATGTCTCTCTAATTTATATCTTGGCTCTGAGCTTTAGGCACATGTCACAGGCTCAGGATAACACAAATCTCAGACTGAATGGTTCTAAAACTGAACTCTGGATTCTCTCAGTTCAGCCCCAGCCACTCTGACCTCGAAGTCAACTTCAATTTCTCTTTCTTCAGTCCCCTTCAACCCACCAGCAAACCCTGTGCTTCTGCCTGCAAACATTCTCCATTCACCCACCTCTCTCCACCCTGGACCCAGCCAGTGCTTCTGTCCAAACATTCCTACCAAATCTTGAATACAAATTCACATCCCCCAGCCATGATGCTGCACACCTGTAATCCCAGCTACTCAGGAGCTGGAGCAGGAAGAACACGAGTTTGAGGTCAGGCTGGGCATCTTAGTGACTTAGGAAAACTCTGCTTCAAAAATGTAAAAAATTTGTTTAAAAAGGGATGACGGTGTTGCTCAAAATGAAGGCCCTGGATTCATTGCCCAGTACTGCAATAAAGGAATAACTATGTGCATAAATACATAAAGTGGAAAAAAGGCAGAGGATGTAGCTCAGTGGTAAAATAACTCTACAATTTTGCCCCAGTACCAAAAAGCTTTTTTTTTTGTTATTGTTTCTTTTTGAGATAGGGCCTCACTATGTAGCCAAGGTTGGCCTCAAACTCATGGTGATCCCCCTACTTCAGCCCCCTGAGTGCTGGAATGACAGGCATGTGCTACTACACCTGGCTTGGGAGACAATTGTAACACAGTACAGCTGGCCAATGTGGTAGGTACCCAGGACAACAGTAAAAGGAAAGACCACGTCTTTTTTTTTTTTTTTCAGTGTTGGAGATTGAACCCAGGGCCTTTACACTGAGATACATTCTCAACCCTTTTTATTTTTTATTTTGAGTCAGGCTCTTGCTAAGCTGCTAACTTGCTATTATGGTCTACATCTAAAATGGCCTCTCGGGCTGGGGATTTAGCTTAGTGGTTCCACCACCTGCCTCAAAAGTGCAAAGTCCCAAGTTTGATCCTCTGTACCAAAAAAAATAAAATAAATAAAATAAAATGGCCCCTCAAGCCAGGCATTGTGGCACGTGCCTGTCATCCTAGTACTCGGGACGCTGAGGCAAGAGGATCACCATGAGTTTGAAGCCAGCCTGGGGTACATAATGAATTCAAACTACATAGCAAGACCTTGTCTCAACAAAACAAAGCGAAAAAATGTCCCCTCAAATCCCATGTGTTAGGAGAGGGGTCTGGGTCACTGGGGTGTGAACTGGAAGGCTGTGTTCTCATCCCTACCTTCTCCTCCTCTCTTTGCTTCCTGGCTGCCATGACATGAGCAGCTCTCCTCTTCAAGGCCCTTCCCCTATGTAGTTTCTGTCTTGGAGCCACTAACCATGGACTGAACTCACTGAAACTGTGAGCCAAATAAACCTCTCCTTAAATTGCCTGTGTTGGGTATTTTGTCCCAGCAACAGGGATACTGACTGATACAGTCATCCAAGCGGGGCTCAAACTTTCAATCCTCCTGCCTCAGCCTACCAGAGTGCTGGGATAACAGGTGTCCACCACCATGCCCACCTGACATCTAATTATTTAACAGTTATAAAATCAAGCTACAAAAAAGGAATACATTCTCTGGTAGAAGCCACCCAAATGTTCACCAATAGGTGAATGAATCAACAGAATGTGGCCCATCCATAAATGGAATATCAGACAGAAATAGGAACAATGATGTTCCACACTGCAGCATGGATGAACTGAAAGACATGATGCAGAGAGACAGAAGCCATACTCTGGAGGCCACTTGCCCTAGTACATGATTCTTTTAGTATGAAGTATTTGGAACAAGCGGATCCACAAAGACAGACATTGACTGGTAGTTGCCAATGGCTGGGGAGAGGGATGGGGAGTGACTGCTAACGGGGCCAGGGCTTCCCTTTGGGGTAATGAAAATGTTCTGGAACTTGGAGGTTGGGCATGGTGCTGCACACCTGTAATCCCAGCATTCAAGAGGCTGAGGCACGAGGATCACTGGGCATGTAAGGCCAGCTTGAGCTACATAGTGAGACCTTGACTCAAAAAATAAAACCAAACAAAAATGTTTTGGTCCTAGATAGAGCTGTTGCTGACAATGAATGTGCTAAATGACACTAATGGCAAATGTTGGCATGTATATTTTATCATGACTAAAAAGTACTTCAGGGGTTGAAAATGTGGCTCAGTGGTAGACCATTTGCCTAGCAACTCAAGGTCCTGGGTTTTATTCCAGCATAATAATAATTAATAATAATAATAATTCAGCCAGCAGGGTGGTACATACCTGTAGTCCCACGTATTTGACTTGGTAAGGCAGAAGTTTTGCAAGTTCAAGACCACCCTGGGCAGTATATTGAGACTGTGTTTCAAGAATTCAAATAAATGCCCCAATGAGAAACGCGAAGGTATTGTATACCTAAAATGTACCAATAAAAGAATTTTTTAAAAAGAATCAAATAAATACTAGTATTTTAGGCTGGATCTGATGCCACACACCTTTAGCCATAGCTACTTGGGAGGTTGAGGCAAGAAAATCAATTGAGCTTGGAAGTTATGGCCAGCCTGGGCGACACAGCAAGACTCTGTTCCTGTCTCTTAAAAAAAAAAAAAAAAAAAAAAAAACGGGCCGGGGATTTAGCTCAGTGGTTTCACTACCTGATCCTGATCCCCAGTACCAAAAAAGAGAGATAAGATTAGAAAGAAAAATTTAAAGGTACAGCCTTACTAGATATGGTGGCACACACCTGTAATCTCAGGTGCTAAGGCTGGGCTGTTTAAGCCCAGCGTGGGCAACTCAGCAAGGCCCTATCTTGACATAAAATGTTTTTAAAGGGCTGAGAACATAGCTCCATGGCAGAACAAACACGAGGACCTGGGTTTAATCCCAATAGTACGACAACAATCACAACAAATCATACATTCTCTTTCTATGATGATAATCATAACTTCTAAAAGATTTAGAAAGCCATGTTCAATTTAAAACATTTCAGTTTCCTAGGAATTTGTTCTTATTTTTGTTTTTGTTATATATATATTTGTTGTTGTTGTTGTTGTTGTTTTGTTTTGTTTTGTTTTTTTGGTACCAGGGATGGAACTTGGGTCCTTGCACTTGCAAAGCAGGTGGCAGAACCACTGAGCTAAATCCTCGGTCCTTATTTTTGTTTTGGTTATTTATTTATTTATGTATTTATTTTGGTATCAGAGATTAAACTCAGGACCTTGCAGTTGTCAGGAAGTCACGGCACCACTGAGCTAAATTCCCGGCCCCCCTGGTTTTTGATTTTTAAGAGAAGGTATCGCTATGTAGTTCAGGCTGGCCTCCAACTCACTACGTAGCCCAAGCTGGCCTCAAACTTGCAGTGATCTTCTTGCCTCAGCCTCCTGAGTGCTGGGATGACAGGCGTGCACCACCACATTAGGGTTTTCTAAGAGTTTTGTGTTACAACATGGGAAGTAGGAGAGTCAGCCCTCCACCTCCCACAATGATCCAGTGTGGCGGGGACTCTGCCAGCCAGCACAAGGAACACCCTGTCCTCCATATCTTTGCTCTCTATACGCCCTTCTGCTGACACTGTCCCATGGCCCCTAAGGTGGGGTCTAACAAAAGGAGGGAGGGAGAGGTTCTGACTGGGTACTTTCACTGGGCACAATGGCAAGGCCCTTGCCAAAATGTCCCCTAAAGTATGGGGCCCACAGTTGACCTGGGTTTTTCATGTCCTGGTGAGGGTTGGAACTGCACAGTGCAAGCTGGGCCAAGGTGAGGAAACACCAGGACTTCCCACCCAGGGCCAGAAGTAGGAACTGACTTCCCAGGAGTGCAGTTCAATGAAACACACTGGCAGCTGAGAAGGTGCTGGCCCTTTAAGAATGAGATGGAGAGGGGCAGGGAATTTAGCTCAGTGGTTTTGCTGCCTGCTCTGAAAGCACAAGGACCTGAGTTTGATCTGTTACCCCCCCCCCCAAAAAAAATGAGATGGAGGAGAGTGAACAAGGACTTTTGAAATTTGGATTGGACCTTGTGAGGTGGTGAGGCTGAGGCAGGAGGATCAACAAGTGTGATGTTTTTGCTGTTGTTTTATTTGAGCCTTGGGGATGGAACCCAGGGCCTTAGCACTGAGCAACATCCCAAGTCCTTTTTATTTTTTGAGACAGTCTTGCTGAATTGCCCAATCTGGGCTTGAACTTGTGATCCTCCTGCCTCAGCCTCCCAGAGTATAGGAGTTACAGGTGTGTACCACTATGCCCAGGTAGGACCACAAATTTGAGGCCAGTGAGAACAACGTAGTGAGACTCTGTCTCAAAACAAAATTTGACAAGGGCCAAGAGCATGGGGCTTAGTGGTGGAGTGCTTGCCTAGCCTCCAGAAGGTTCTGGGTCCATTTCGAAGTATGGACCTAAAAACACAGGGTCTGGGTAGGAAGTCCCCTACATCATGGCACCTCAATACATACCCTGAAATGTTCCCCATGGAAGGGCATTGTTGGGCCTGCTGATCTTCCCATTTCCCAGAGAAGGAAGCTGAGGCCCAGAAAGGGGTGGGGAGGGATAGTTGCCCCAGTGTCCTCAGCGCCCCCACTACCCAGGTGGCTGGGCTCGGGGAGTCCCAGCTGGCTTACAATGCCCTCTGTGAACTCTGTTCCTAGAACTGTTGGCATGCAGTGGCTTTTGGTGGACAGTCACAGCCTGACCCCTCTGTCCTGTCTGGATGCCACACGGAGGTGCCCTTCCCTAATGGCCATGCGCCAGTGCCTCACCACCCTCCCCAGCTGCCTGACCCCACTGGCCAGAGTGTGTTTGCCTGGATGCAGTGGTGCAGCCAGCAGGCCCGGGCTGGTAAATAATTCATCTGACAGCTGATAGTGCCTTCTAGAGCCAGCCCCAGCCCCCTCGCCACGGAGCAGAGCGGCTGCCTCCGCCTCCCTCCAGGCCCAAACCAGCTGGACCAGCTTTCCTGGTGCCACCCTGGGCCCCCTCCCACCAGCCAGGTCCCAGCGTCCCATCTGGGACACCTTCAGGCTTCGAGCGGTCCGCACTCAGAGTGCGCTTCTGGGCAACATGGCTTTGCAGAGCCAGGCATGGGCTCCGGCCACACCCATGTGAGTGTTGGGACATGGGGCTGGTGGGGGGCGGGCACTGGAGGCATGCTGACCTTGCCTGGGAGCCCAGAGCCCCAGGAGGCCTGGCCTATCCGGAGGGGACCAAGGGCAAGGGAAGGAGCAACTGGCGGACCCCTCAGGGTCCCCAAAACCCCCTTCCCCAGAGAGCTGGGTAGGACATTCAGGCTCCTCGGCTCCCTTTCTTGGGGGGTTTTCTGCTGGCAACCAAGGTATGTGTGTGTGTGTGTGTGTGTGTGTGTGGCTGTTACAGAGTTGGGAGGCAGAGAGTCCCAGGGCCTGTCATTGTATGTCTTGGCTTCAAACAGCCCCATTAATGCCTGAGGTTCACAAAGAAACCAGACCCTTCCAAACTGCAGAAGAAAATTGCAACAGGGCAATGATGGCCTGCTGAATGAAGTGGCCGCCAGCTGCTCTCGGTGGCCCTGGAGCTGTGGCCACCAGTGTGATCTCACAGGCAGAAACGCTTGGTTGCAGGGGGTGTGTGCAGAGCTGTAGTGTTCAAAGATGCAGGGCTTTTTAAAGTAAGAGGGTTGGGAGGGCACCAAGGGTCCAGGGAGAGGCCTAGAAAAAGGGGCTCCCGCCATGGGGGACCCCAATTCTGTTTCTCACCCTTCTGGGTCCTGCATTGCATTATTCACCAACTACATACCTGGTTGCCCAGCAATGGGAACCTGATCCCTCCCAGTGAAGAAGAGGCAGGGAGATTACATCTTGGGGACCTCAGTGCTCCCCTAGGGGCAGACCCAGAAGTGGGGACCATGGGCTCCCTTAGGAGCATAACTTCAGTCGCCTGTCCCAACAGAGATCAGGACCCCCAGGCTGACCTCCAGCCTCTTCAAGGCACAGATGGAGGGTTCCTGAGAACCCCTTACCCTTCTGCAGTTGGTTTGTGTGGCCCTTGCACAAGTCTTTTGCCTTTTCTCACTCACTTCCCCACCTGTAAAGTCAGGACAGCAATATACTTACCTCCTAGAGTTAGAGGGAAGGTGAAACGAGGTACTATAGGTAAAACTCTGTGTGTGTGTGTGTGTGTGTGTGTGTGTGTTACTGAGGATCTACATACCCAGCCCTTTTTATTTTTTGAGACAGCATCTCACTAAGTTGCCCAGGTGGGACTCAAACTTGGGATCCTCCTGCTTCAGCCTCCCATAGTGCTGGCATCACAAGTGTGTGCCAGGGTTCTCAGAGCATTTAAAGCAGTGCCTTTTGCCACTTCTCAGAGTTCTGGTCTCTTCACCTGTCAAATGTGGACGTTACTACCACTCACCTCCTGGGGTCATGGGGAGGAGTGAATGAGTCCCCTGATTTGCATGCTAAGGTTAGTTCAGGTTTGCTGACACTTGAAATATCAGCCCTGGGAATGGATGGCAGCCAATGAGTCAGGATCAGGGCGGGCAGGGGGGAGGCGGCTGTGGGAGCCCAGCAGAAGCCCTGCAGGGAGGGCACTTAGGAGACTATATATAGTATGTGCCATTACGCCTGGGCTGGGTGGCCAGGGACAGTCTGGGAGGTCCCAGCTGGAGTTGCTGTGGGCAATGACAGGATGATGCTACCATGCTCTCCCAACAGTGTAAATGGATGCAGCTTGAGGATCTCTCTGTGCTTACCCATGGCTGGGTAATGGGATGACAAGCAGATAGATGTCATTTTCTAGATAGTGACTGAGGAAGCATGATCAACAACAGCAACTCAGCACTCTCGGAGGCTGAGGCAGGAGGATCTCAAGTTCCACCCCAGGCAGGCAACATAGCAGCTTAGCAAGACCTTGTCTCAAAATAAAAAATATAAAATGAACTGGGGATGTAGCTCAGTGCAAAGCCCCTGGGTTCAACCCCCTACCTTGTATAGTACTGAGAAGAAAGAAAAAAAAAAGATAAGGATGGGGGAAATCTCAGGTTAAACCTTAAACCACAAATTCCCCTCTTTGAAGCTCAGAGTCCCACGCTGGACAGTGAGACCCAGTGACCTTTGCCCCCCCAGGAGGCCAGATGGAGGAGGTGCCTCAGGGTAACCACGGCAACGGATGGCCACTTCTCTGCCCAGGTTCCCTCACCCCCACCCCAGCAGTTAAAGTAAAGGATCCTGGGTAAAATTGAGGTCCAGAGAAGATGTGGGGCTGGCCAGAGACACAGCATGTTCTGTCTGGCAGGGTCGGAGTTTCTACAGGACAGACTGAGAATGGTATAATTAGTGATAAATAGAGCTAATCATGAGAGTATTTTAATTATGATAAATAAAAACTACGGTGCTATTTTGGACTACTATGTCCTATGCTTTTCCCATAGGAATATTTCCTTGTGCAGTGTTGTGGGGGGGCGGTTTCAAGCCATCCCCGCCATTTGAATGATGAGGAAACAGGGAGGCGACATCAGACTAGGAGGGGCTTTAGTCTCTTGGTCTCTGTTTGCTCTGCCTCACTAGATACTCGCCCTCTGCCCAGGCTCCTCCCAGGGACAAAAAGGAAACAGAGGTTGCTCTTTGTGTCCTGGGCAGCCGAGAGTTTGGGGCCTAAACTTGAGGGATCAGGAGGCGGGGCGCTGAGGGTTGGGATCCCTGTCCCAGCAGGCCGGTGGCCGAGAGCTCCCTCTACCGGCAGCGGCTGGAGGTCATCGCTGTAAGTGACGCCCTCCCGGTGCGCTGGCCCCGCCCCGGGAACCCCAATGCCTCCCGGCCCCCTGCCGCCCTTTCCCCTTCTTCGCCACTCCCGGGAACTAGACCGGCTCTGTGGAAGGGAGAGCAGCGCCTTCATCAGCGACAACCCTACCCAAGGGGCCCCACTCAGTCTCAGCCTCCCTTCCCCGCTCCTCGGGTCTGCGCTCCCCCAGAACGGTGGGCTGTGGGCCCGGCACGCCCAGAACCTGCAGCACCTGAAGCCTCGCCCCTGAGTCCTAGCCTCCCAGACACCCCATGTCCGAGGCCCCGCAAGTCCCTGCAGCTTGGACTCCATCCTTATAACCCTCATTAGGGAGCCTCTGACCCGGGGCCTCTGCGGACTCCAGCCCTCGACCCGGTCTGGGCCTCCATCCTTGACCTCCCTCCCTCAGCACCTGAACTCTCTGTGCCCGGTATCTGCAGCTCACTTCCCGGGCCCCCTTCAGCACCGATCTTCCTGCCCTCATTTTGTACCACGCACTTCTCTGATCCCCACCTTGATACCCCCACCATCTCTCTGTCCTGCACATCTTCATCCATCTGTGTGGGGTTCCCCCTTCACCCCATCTCGGACCACCCCTTCTCACTGACACCCTCCTTTGCATCCCCAAATCTAGACCCCTCCCAGCTTTCTGAACCCAGTCTAGGGATCCCTTCCGACTGGTTCGGGTCCCCATCCAAGGCCCCGCCCCCACCCACCACCCACCCCTCCACGGACCCCTATTGGGCTCGGCAAGGCCTCCGCAGCATCCCGGGCGGCCGGCCCCGCCCCGCCCCGCCCCACCCCCACCCCGCCTCCGCCCCCCAGGCCACTGCTGAGTCAGCGCTTCCACGGCCCCTCCCCCGTGTCCCCCAAGCGGGCCCGGAGCCAGGGAGCCCCGGCGGAGGGGGAGGGAACCCCCTGAAGGGGAGGCCCCGCCCAGCCCCGGTGCTCTGCGCAGGAGAAGCGGCGGCTGCAGGAGCAGATCCGCACGGCGCGCCGCGAGCTGGAGGAGGAGAAGCTCCGCGTGCAGCGGCTCAAGGTGGGGTCGCCGCCCGGGCGGAGACGAAGTGGGGGTGTCCTTGCGAGTCCGTTCGCCGGACCATAGGGGCTTGCCCAGCCTGGGTGGAAGGGGTGTGGTGGCAGTGGGGACACTTGTCCCGCCCTGAAAAGAGTCTAGGACCGCGAGGTCTTGTCCCAGTTTGGGGGAGTCCCAGTTTGGGGGTGCCTTAGGGTGAGCTTTGGTTCAGAGCGCCCCGTGGGGATGGGCATGGGCTCCGCCTCTGGGAGTGTCTGCCCATCCCTTTGAAAGGGTGGGGGCAGGGCTGTCTGCCGGGCCGGGGTCGTAGCCCTTGAGAACGGTGAGGAGGCTGGCGTGTCTGTCCACCTGCCAGGGCTAGGGAACCATGCGGCGTGCACCGTGGGCCGCCGTGACTCCTGAAGGCGTCCGTGGGCCCGGGGGCACCCTCGTGGGGCGGGGCTGAGCCCAGCTCGGGCTTCTTTCTTGCCCAGAGGAAATCCCTGCGAGAGCGCTGGCTGATGGACGGCGCCACGGAAGGACCTGAGCAGCCCGGGGACCCTGCCGCCCAGGACCCCCAATCGCCAGAGGGCCAGGCCCAGGCTCGCATCCGAAACCTGGAGGACAGCCTGTTCACGTGAGCGCTGTTCCTGGCTGGGGGCCGGGGGCAGACTGAGCCTGGGGTTCCCTCCCAGCAGCCCCCTGTCTTCCACAGACTCCAGTCCCAGCTCCAGCTGCTGCAGAGCGCTTCCACAGGTGCCCAGCACCGGCCCCCAGGCAGGCCCTCCTGGCGAAGACAGGTGAGGGGTGTGGGGATGGGCGTGGCCCCAGGGCTAAAGCTGGAACCCCGGAGGAGTCCTCTTGCACACCTTCTCTCTGTGATCTTGAGCAAGTCCATTTCCCTGCTCGAGCCTCAGTTTCCCCATCTTTAAATGGACATAGCAACAGCATACTTGGAATTGATGCTTCGAGGCTCAGAGAGATGGTAGCTGAGCACCCGACCTGGGGTTGGTGGGGGGTGGGTGGGTTTCGATTTATGTTTGATGTGGATGTGAGGGCGCACGTGTGTAATCCCAGGAGGCCGAAGGTGAGGCTGAGGCAGGAGGACCACTACCATTTCGAGGCCAGCCTGGGCTACGCAGTGAGTTCAAGACCAGCCTGAACTGCACAGTGAGACCCTGTCTCAAAAAAAGAAAAAGAAAAAGAAGAAGAAAAGAAAACGTGGGTGGATGGATCCCTCTGTGACTTGGCCTTGAAGATAGGAGAGGATAAGCAGAAGACATTCTTGTGATTTGTTCTTTTAAGACAAGGTCTCGCTATGTAGCCCCGGCTGTCCTTGTACTTGTGAGGATCCTCTTGCCTCAGCCTCCTGAGTGCTGGGAGTACAGGTGTGCTATCACACCTGGCCCACATGCATTTTTTATTGTCTTGTTTGTGCTTTGGCAACACCTTCGTTAAGATAGAATCCAAGTGCCATGAGACACACGGGCTTCTTTTGAGGGGCTGGGGATGGAACCCAAGGCTTCATACAGACGAGACAAGTGCTCACCACTGAGCAGCACCCCCAACTCCAGCCCGATAAACAGGCTTTTGAAAAAATAGGACACTTCACATTACAGTCTGGCATTCTGGGTTTTACTTGAAGTCGAAAAGACCCAGAGACCTTTGTGCCTGGCCATAGTGGGTGTGGCTGTTCCACAGTGCTCCCCTCCCCTAATGTCTTACCTTGGAGCCCCAGAGGCAGGAAAGGAGGCCTGTGCATGGGTAGGGGAAGTGCTTGTTGGGGTTAGTGGAAGCCTGGAATTCTGTGCTAGAGATGTGCAGGACATGGCTGGGGCCCCAGGTCCGGTGACAAGATGGGGTAGAGTCTAAGAGGGCCTGGATTTCAGGGTGGGCTCGCTGGGTGTGCTGCCTGTCATCCCAGCACTCTGGGAGGCTGAGGCAGGGGGATCACAAATTAGAGCTCAGCCTGGGCAGTTTAGCAAGACCCTTCCTGAAAATAAAATACAAAAGGCCTGGGGATGGAGTTCCGTGTAAAGGCCCTGAGTTCAATCTTCAGTACTAACTAACTAACTAACTGCTTGCCGGTAGTCATGTCTAAGCTGAATCCAGGGTGAGGGTAGGGTCATCAGACAAGAGGGAAAGGGCACTGAGGCAGAGGGAACAGCCCAGGCACAGACAGGGAGGCTGGAAAGAGGAGGCCAGGGCTGGAGGGCTGAGGGCACCCTGGGCTTGGCCTGGGCAGCCTGCTTTCCCGCCTGCTCCCCTCTCTGGGCCTGTCTTTCACTCTCGGTCGCTTGCCCCTTTACTCCATTCCTACCACAGGCACAGACCTTCTTGTGTTCCTTGAACTTTCCTACCCACCCTCAAGGCCCCAGGGCCTTTCCACTTGCTGTCTCCTCCTCTGCCTGGAATGCTGTCCCCACCTGTGACTTCTGGCTGGCTTGTGTCACCTCTGAGGGCTCGCCTGGCCCCTTGTCTAAGAGGCTCTTCTGCATCTGCTGCCCAAAGGAGGCACCCTGTCCCCTCCAGCCCCTGGCTCCCCAACCCGAGCTCTTCCTCTCCGTAGCCCTCCTCAGCTGTTATTACCCTCCTCTCCTCACTGGAATATAAGGTCCAATAGCAAAGGGTTTCAGAAACCCTTGCTGGGCTGGGGTGCAGTGCTTCGGTAGAGCACTGACTTAGCATGCACGGGGTCCTGGGCTCCATCCCCACTGAGTACGTACACAGAGTATGAATAAGGATGAATGATTAGGAATCTCTTGTGTAAGGTAACTTAAGTAGCTGGCAGAGTGGGCCCCTAGGGGAGAGAGATTAACTACATGCCAACAGTATGGCCAGAGCACCCACTGTGTGTGCAATCCTGGAGCAGATGGAGACAGGACAAGTGTAGAAGGCTAGGCGCAATATGGGGTTTAGTCCAAAAGGTAATAGGGAGCCATCAAAGGTGTTTGAGCAGGGGTGGGGCCCTGGTATGCAGGGAGGCTTGGGTTGAGGGCCTACTTGACCTTGTCTCTGCCATCTCTGCAGGGTTACCGTCCTCTCTCCCAGCCCATCATGGAAGCAGGTCCTGCAGGTGGGTGTTGGAGCCCTTAGGTCTGGAGGGGGTCAGGTCACCCCCAGATTGCATGATCTGCTGGTCATCCTTACCTCCTTCCTCCTCTTTCCTCTCCTCTAACTCTACCAGGCCAGGCGGATGTGGACAAGAGAGCTTCCCTGCCAGTGGGGCCCATGGGTTTGTCCCCAGAGTCCCCCTCTGAGCCCAGGGAGGGGGCCCCAAGGCCAGTCTCTGGAGCAGGGGAGTCCCCCCAAGAAGCCAATGGCCCCTGCTCGGGGCCCAGCATGCCTCCAGAGCAGCGGCAGAGCCTGGGGACAGGGACTGTGGCAGAGGGGAGTGTGGTGGAGGCCAAAGGGGGGGACATGGTAGAAGTAGTGTGGGGGGGGCTCCAGGGCCCCCAGGACTGTGCCATGGGTGCCACTGGCCCAGAGCTGGAGGCCAGGGTGGAGCAGGTGGTACTGGAGGCCATAGGGGACAGACAGAGGCCTGGCAGCCCCAAGCTCCCGGCCTGGGTGAGGGAGGACAGGGGCATTGTGGAGGTGGTCTGGGAGGGGCTGGGGGGCAGTGACCATGAGACCCTGGAAGAGGTGGGTGGTGGTGACCTGGAGCTCCAGGAGCGCCTTGGGGGCCCAGGGTCCAGAGACAGGGGGCCTGACAAGCAGGGGGAACCCAGGAGGGACGAGGGCTCCTTCATCTGGGTGGAGAGGGTGACGCTCAGTGAGGACTGGGAGGAGCTGCTGATGGAGGGCTTGGAGGGGCCCCCGGAGACTGGCAGGGAAGCTGGTGTCGAGGGACTGCCAGGGACAGACAGGGGAGGAGGTGGGGAGGGGAAGGTGGAGGGGCCTGCGGGGGCAGGGGAGAAGGGGGCCGAGGAGAGGCCGGGGACAGAGAAGGATGGGGGGCACAGGCCGCTGGAGGGGATGCAGAAAGAAAGCTGGGCATCCTCAGAGCCAGAGGGGACAGCAGGCGAGCAGAGAGAGAGCGCCGAACAGGATTTGGGCGTCGAGAGGAACGAGATGGAGGGGCCTCTGAGGGCAGAGAGGGGACACAGGGAGGAGAGGCCAGGAGCAGAGACGGAGGCGCCGCTGGGAGTGGACAAGGAAGGAGGTGAGGAGAGGGCAAAGGAGAAAGCTGAGCAGCCACTGGGATCCGAGACAGTGGGCGAAGAGGGGTCTCTGGGGGCAGGGAGAGGAGGTGGGGAAGAGGGGGGGGCAGCGGGGAGAGACGATGAGGAGCCAGTGGACGTGAAGGAGAAAGGAGGTAAGGAAGAGCCAGGCGTGACTGAAGAGCCCTTGGTGACAGAGAGGGAAGGAAGTAAGGAGCCCCTGGTGACAGAAAGAAAAGAAGGCGAGGAGCCCTTGGGAGAAGAGGAGACTCCTGGGGCCCAGGACTTGCAGAATGGGACAGAGCAGAGGGAAGCAGGGGAGGGAAGGGAATCCCAGACTAAGGCAGGGAGTGAGGCGGGTTTGCCCCTTGAGGTCATGCAGGAGATGGCCCCAGAGTTGCAGCCCCCAGAGAAGCAAGAAGGCTATCTGGAAGAAGAGGCAGGGGTGCCCCAACCTCCTGCTGAGGCCCAGGGCCCCGCTGGGGACGCCACCCCACTCCTGGCTGAGACCCCCGCCCCAGACCAGCCCACCGAGAGCCAGCCGCTGCTTCCATGGGAGGGACCCAGCACCAACCCCAGCGCCCACCCCGCACCCACCTATGCCCCCGCCCGGCAGCCTGAGCCCACCTCCCGTGCTGAGGGTGAGGAGGCAAGCGGCCCCAAGCAGAAGACGTGCCAGTGCTGTGCAGTGATGTGAGCCTGCGCCCGGGCCCCGACCAGTGCCTCTCATAGCTACCTCGCCTCCTGGCATCCAGAAGAGGGTCCCGGGTGCAGGCAGGGCACACAGGACTGGCCATGGCATGCGGCAGCCAGCCGGCCCTCACATCCACCTATGCCTGGGTTTCCAGACTCCTTGCCCACTGCCTGTGACCCCGGCTCCCTTCTGTGACAAAGCCTTTATACTTGAAAATAAAATGTTTAAGCACTAAGACAGCTGGAATATGTGTGTTGTTGGCACAGAATCACCTTGTGATCTGGTGGGAAACTGAGGGCCTAATTCTGCTGGAATAAAAAATCATGAGTCAGTGAGAGTATGGTTTTGGTTGCTGTAACAAAATCCTCTCAAGCTACGGCAGCAAAAAGACAAGTTTATTGTGGCTGTGACTCATGTGGTCATTCAGGGACTCAGATTCTGACCATGCAGTTACTCAGGGATTCAGACTCTGATCCAGGAAGTTCCTTGGGGATTCAGGGTTCAATTCAGGTGGTCACTTGGGGATTCAGTTTCTGATTCAGGTGGTCACTCAGGAATTGAGGCACTAATCCAGGTAATCACTTAGGGATTCAGGCTCTGATTTATGCAGTTACTCAGGGATTTGGGCTCTGATTCATGTGGTCTCTCGAGGATTCAGGCTTTGATGTACATAGTCACTTGAGAAGTTAGGCTCTGATCCATATGGTCACTGGGTGATTCAGGCTCTGACCTACAGTCACTTAGGGATTCAAATTCTGTTGCATTGGTTGTCCCCTTGGGTATGTCAAAGCTAGGTCATGAGCGTGTTTATGTTCCAGCTCACAGAGCGTGTGGAGGAGTCTCCACCCAGTGTTTCAGGCCTACCGGCTCCTGAGATTGGCCCATGTCACTTCTGCCCACAATCCATTGTGGGAACTCAGTCCATGGCTGATCCAGCTGCAAGGGAGGCTGGGACTATGCCCAGATGCAGTTCTGTTCTAGCAGGACAGATTGTGGGGGGCAGCTCCCCTCTCGATATCACACATTTTCCTTTGCACATTCATCCACCCATGCATTCCTTATTGAGGGTGGGCCCCTCTCTGTGGCATCCCCTAATCCCTGCTCTTCATGATTGCATGTCCTCGGGCAAGTGGGTCAGCCTTGTTGGGCCTCAGTGTCTGCATCTGTTAGGTGGGCTCACCCAGGGCAGGGTGCAGCCTGCATAAGCACCCTTAGCCTGTTCTGCAGCCCTAGCCTGGCAAGGCTCAGGCCAGCACATGGGGACTGGGGGGCCCCAGAAGGCTCAGCTCCTCCAGTGTAGGCATGAAGTGTTTCTCATACCCAGAGTGAACTGGGGTGGAGGCCTGGGGTGGCTCTATAAGCGGCATCGGCTCTATCTCTTCCACCTCCAGGATGGGCACATCCCCAGGGGCCTGGGGCTGGGGCTGGGGCTGCAGCACCTGCTGGGAAGAGATGAGGCTGAACTCTCCTCCCTTCCCTACTCCCCAGTGTCGCTGGTTCCCCTAATCCCCCAGAGGGCTCCTACAAGCACCTAAGGGCATTCTACCGTGAAGCTACACCCCCAGCTCTTATTTTTTATTTTGAGACAGGGTCTAAGTTGCTTTCCCTGGCCTAGAACTTGTGATCCTTCTGCCTCAGCCTCCAAAGTAGCTGCAGTAAGTGCTAAAGTAGCTCCAAAGATCTGCAAAGTAGTAGAAAAGGGGCATACACCATTGTGCCTGGCAGGCCGGCCTTTTTGCTCACCTCTATGTGGGGGTGGCCAGAATGGCTGTTGGCAGGATCAGGAACTTTCTCCAAGACCCATCGGGGCAATACCTTGTGTCTCAGGTGAAGGCACCTGGTGGGTAGGTAAAATCAGGACTGGGAGCCTGGGTGCCGGACACTGTCCAAGCTCCAGAGTACACAAACCCTGCGGAGCCCCGAGGCTCCCCTCCACCCCCCTACAAAGTTCAGCTAATGTCCAGCAGCTGCCCCCAACACACCTAGGTAGCCCGGCATGTCCCCTCACCTCACCTTCCAGAGGTGGCCAGGCCCAGGCAGCAGACCAACAGGAACAAGGCCCATGGGCACAGGATTCGGGGCAGGACTCCCCAGCTCAAAGTATTCCCTGCAGGGCGAAGAGGAGAGACGTTTTGGATGCCACGAAGCATGGAAAAGACGTAAGGCTTGTGGATGGGTTTGGGCTTGCTCGATGGAGTGGGGGGGCTTATATGTGTGAGGGGCTAGGAATCTTGAGAAGGGGCTGAGCTCGTGAATAGGACAGTGTTGATAGGTCAAAGTGGGGGGCAGCGTGAAACCATGGGAGACACAGCGCCTGGTAAGACGCTGCAGCATTAGCAGAATCAAAAGACCCCTAGAAGTGGGCCATGGTGGCACATGCTCGTCATCCTAGCACATGGGAGGCTGTGGCAGGATTATCACCAGGAGTTCGAGGCCAACCTGGGGTACATAGCGAGTTCAAGGCTAGTGAGAACTACATAGTGAGGGCTGGGGGGGTTCAACCCAGTGGTACAGATGTGCTCAGTGTGCACACAGACCTGGTTCAATCCCCAGACTCCCCCCATACTAATCCTCCACCTTAAGTCATATTGTCCCTGCCCTGAAGCCCAGGTGAGGACTCCAGACACCTCCTCCCCCAAGTGGAGCAGGCAGTCCCACCCCATCCTCTACCTGGCAGGTGAAACTGGAGGCTGGGACCAGGTGGGCCTTGTCCCGCAATGGTGGCCGCCATCACCCACAGCTTGCAGGGTCCCCAGGGGAGTTCGGGCAGAGTGACCTTCCGGGTGCTGCTGCTCACTGAGGAACACGAGCACAGAGGGAGGGGAAGTGCTCTCTACCACAGGGCCTTTGAATGTGCAGTTTCATCTGCCCACAGCACTGGTCCCCAGCAACATGGGATTTTTTTCTCATTCCTGAAGGTCTTTGTTCAAATGCTACCTCCACAGCAAAGCCTTCCCTGAGTGCCCCTCCATTGTAAACTACCTCTGCGCCACTAGCCCACCCTGCTTCATTTTCCACTCAGCATGGATCACCACCTGATATATTTCTTAGATATTATTTGGTTTGTCTATGTATGTGGGTTGCCCACAAACACACTAATAATAATAATAATAATAATGAAAATAAGAAAGAAAAAATTATCTAGGGTATAGTGGCACACACCTGTGATCTCAGCTACCATGAAGGCTAAGGCAGGAGCTCAAGGCCACACTGAACAACATAGTGAGACCTCATCTCAAAAAAAAAAAAAAAAAAA